ACTGCGACGACTTGCAAAGGGTTACAGTATTAAAAACGAACTGTGAATTTTTATGCGTTCAAATGGGAAATTTGAAGGTAAAGGGGTATCTCAAATGTTAAGCATTTTTTAAATAAATTTCAAGAACATTGACGGAGCGATGTTCTGATAAATTGATACATTGATTTTAATTATAGTTTAGGTGTCTATAAGATTAAACGTGTTTCAGAGGGGAGAGTTGATTGAGAAGATTGGATAGTTAATGGAATAATTAAGTTTCGTTAATTGGATTGGAGCGACAGAATTGACTCTGCTGCGTTCTTGGAGTCATTTTGGAACTAACCGTGTATTTCTTATCGTTGAAACATTACTTGTAAAAAGTTTGGAGATAAGTAGAAAAATTGTTACGTGTAATTTCATATTTCAGAGATTTTCTAATAAAGAAAAAAAAAAAATCGGAGAAGCAGTAGAAACACGTAGAATTAAGTAGAATACGACCGTTCCTAATCGGACAACGCTAAACTTTATGATTCTATAAATACCGAACATCGAAAGTATAAAATTAACCAATTTATCGTCTAATCTTCCTAACAATATAAAATTTCAATGCAACAATAATAATTTCTACAAAATTTCAACTTCTACCAAAGAATTCCTTGAATACGATTTTACCAAGATTACAATTGCAACGATAAAACTTCCAGAATATGTATATTATGCATTATCAAACATACCTATAAAACAACGTGTAGTTCGAGTTACACTCATTATCAACGTAGCTATCAGTCAACACTCGGATCCATTAACTCCAATGTGTCTGATCACACGGAAGCAATATAACAGCGAAGCACTCAGCACTCATTCAACGTTCATTCTCATCTTTAATTTTTCACATCACCGATGTTCGTAATGTTTTCTCCCGTTATTTTTTAAATATAAATAAAATTTTGATGTAGTAAAAAATTGTTACAGAAAGGTTCGTTCAGTCGAATAAAATGCGCTAATAATAATAATAATAATAAATACAGTAAAAGTTTTTGAACAGAATGATTTCGAATATTTATCTAAAATAATTCTTCGAATATCTTTAGCCATTATTCGTATAACTTATTATCTTAATTGTTTATTCGTATGAACTTTTCGAATAATAATGCAAATAATTACTATTTTTGTTTTAAATTTCATACGTGTAATTTTGTTTTAATTTTCACACAGATTCGGTCGCATATGTGCACGCGCAATATTTGAAAAAAAGTTGATTATAAAAAAGGCTAATAATGAAAAGAATTGCCCAATAAAAGATGAAAAGTGTGAAAAATTATTTCACGCATTAGACATCTTTCTTTACATATAATATAATACGTTATACGGGTAAATACTTATTCGATTGAATATTCATTCTATAAAATTGAATAAAGTTGAATAGAATTTTGCTCAACACTGTTTTTACATGGCGATGACAGTGCGTTATACAGTAGAAAAAAAAATACACTTGCAGCCTGTGCAATATATTGCGCAAGAGTGCAATGTACAAATTGTGACATTTAAATATCACTCTTTATCTGACGAAAACCCGATAAAAGAACAATCATCCATCTCATGCAAGAAAAGATCTACAAAATTCTGTTCAAAATGTAACTACGTAACACAGGTAACAGCAGGTAATGTGTTGACACAAAAAGAAACACTTGCAATAAATCCAAAGAACTTCAAAGAGCTTGGATAATTCACTGGCATGTCGATAGGTTGATAGGCGAGGGGACTATTAGAAGCGTAAATAGCACATAAACAGGAAGTAGCAGCTCGTAAAGATGCGCTGACAGCCGGTTGACAATGAGAGTCACTCGATTTGCTCGATAATCCTGCTCTTCACCCCCCTGCTCATCAACCAACCCCTGTCTTTTCTCTCTCTCTCTCTCTCTCTCTCTCTCTCTCTC